TGCACTCCAGTCTGGGCGACCGAGTGAGACTCCAACTCAAAAAAAATAATAATAATAATCCTATTCCTCTCAAATGCACACAGTAGCTTTCTCTATTATTTTCCTCTCTAACCTATTCAAATTTTCCAGATTGGGCTCACATAACCTTTTGATTTAGTTTTTATTTTTATCAAAGTGATACATGTACAGACTTGAAAAAGATTGAATGATCCACGAGCTTTATAATGATAAATAGCAGTTTCCTGCCCCACCCACTCCCACCGGATTCACTCAGCAGAAGCAGCTGTTCTCAGTGCTTCTAGTTCTTTCTTCTGCTATTTACCTCCCTGTTTCTAACTGGCATTGCTCTTTCTTAAACTTTTAGTTTTAGATCTTTTACATTTCCTCAATGAAGATGAAGATTTAACTCTTACCACAACTTCTTTCGCCACTACAATACTTCTTAAATTAATATTCAGTGTTCACAATTGAGACAAGCTGTTTTCTTGTACCACTTTTTGTTTTCCTTGGGGTTAACAATTGCTTCATTTTCTTTTCTCTTGCATATAAAATACCTGTTAATGGCCCAGCATGGTAGCTCACACTTGTAATCCCAGCACTTTGGGAGGCCAAGGATTGCCTGAGCCCAGAGGTTCAAGACCAGCCTGGGCAAACTGGGGAGACCTCATCTCTACAATGAATCAAAAAATTAGCCAGGCGTGGTGGTGTGTGCCTGTAGTTCCAGCTACTTGGAAGGCTGAGGCAGAAGGATTGCCTGAGCCTAGCAGGTGGAGGCTGTGGTAGCTATGATCGTGCCACTGCACTCCAGCGAAAGAGTGAAACTCTAACTTATCTGCAAGCTTCTGCCTGCAACTCGACTCAATATATATACAAATGAGCAAATAAATAAATATCTGTCACTGACTTACCTGCAAGCTTCTGCCAAAACTGAAAACTTTTCTCAGATTATGGTCAAACCCACAATTAGTCTCAGCTCCATTTTTTTCTCTAGGGTTATCCTCCTTGGAGCCCTCTGTATTAGGCAAGGTTCTAGACAGAAACAAAACCAATAGACTATATACAGATTACATAGAGATAGAGATTTATTTTAAGGAATTGGCTCATGCAGTTTTGGGGAATGGAAAGTCTGAAATTTGTAGGGCAGACAAGATTGGCTATTGTAGTCTTAAGTCTGAAATCTACAGGTAGGCCAGCAGGCTGGAAGCTCAAGATTTCTATGCTGCCATCTTGAGACAGAATTGCTTCTTCCTCAGCCTTTGCCCTGAAGGCCTTCAACTGTTTGCTCACCCATATTATGGAAGGTGATCTGCTTAAAGTGGAGCTGTTGTAAATGTTAATCACATGTAAAATCTACCTTCATAGCAACATCTGGACTGGTGTTTGGACAAACAACTGGGCACCATGGCCTACCATTACACCCTCCAAACTCTGAATTAATCCCTCCCCCACCATGTTTTGTTTTGGTTTTTTCTCTTTAGTATCCTCTCCTACTTAATTTCATGGCCCTCCCTTAATATATCAACCACAGCTTTCAGCAAATATTTTCCTGGTAAATTAAGACAACCCATTTAGGAACTGTGCTAGGGTAGACAAGGTGTTTAAAACACGCAGACACAAACACAGGATGGATAAGAGAGTCAACAGCCATTGCTTCCATCTCCATCCAGCTGCCATCTCATCTTCATTTGTTTCCCACTGTCCTAGGAGAGCAGGAAGAAGACTGCCCACCGAGCCCAGGTTGCATGTACTCTGTGGTAGCTACCAATAACCAAGCCTGGCCAAGAGAAAGAGAATTGATTTGCAGCTCCCACCCTTCAGGAAAGCACTAGTGTAACTAGCTGGGCCTTCTACAACTGTCTGGCTGGTCATTTTTATCCTGATGGTTAGACTACAAACCAGAAAAACCTATCAAAGTAAAGAAGCAGTAAACACAAAAATTGCTTTTCATATTGTTTCTTGGTTTCAGACTTGCATATATGCCAACACATAGCACAGTGGTAGCTTTGATCATGTCTGTGCCTGCTTAGAGAGTTTTTATTTTCTTTAGACTGAATGTTCGAGGATGAGGCCAAAATAATTGAGAAGTCTTAAGAGATACAGATTTCAAATTAATTTTTTCCAAATGAGTATGTGTGTGTATGTGTGTGTGTGCTGTGATGAGTCAATGTTTCTCTGGGAACTGAGGGGGAAAAATCTCAAACACTAACAAAGGATGTGAAGTGTAGCAGATCCTGTGCCCAAATGACACGTCAACTTTCCCCACCTCCCCACTGTGGGGGGGAAGACAGTAGAAATAAGGGAATTATATAAGCAAATGTAGCCAAAGGCCTTATGGAGGATGGAAAGAGAGAAAACTCTAATTTCTGAGTTTAAAAAGTGACAAAAACAGGGAGAGGGATGGGGGATGGGTAGCGGGGACTGACAGTAGTTGATATCCACCTGAGGAAGAGAGGGGCACACGTCATCAATAAGGGTACCTGCACAATGAATGTTTGTATACCTAACCCTGAATTGTACCCCACAATTTCAAAATAACAATTAAAAGAGAAAAAAAAAAGTGACTAAAACAAATTCCCAAAAGCAAAAATAAATCTGAAAGCCAGAAGTGAAAGGGATAAGCTGTCCACTGACCTCATTGTCCTCAGATGGGAACCTCCCTGTAAGATAAGGGTATTTCTGAGGCTCCCCCTGTTGAAGGGTTTTCTTTCAGCTAGCAGACTGGAGAGCTGTGTGAATCACAAGACTCAGAGTCCCTCGGGAACGTGCTTAAGCTTCCCATATTTTCAGAGTCTCCAGAACTGTCCTGTCAACTGATCTCATAACTTCCCTAAAAATGGAAGCATTTGGATTCCATTTGTTTCAAATAGAGGTAATAGGACACACACACACACACACACACACACACACACACACACACACACACCCTCCCACAGTGTTCCATACCCATAAGTTTGGGAAATTCTGAGTTAAGTAAAAATTA